CACCCTCTCCCATATTCTCTTTTCTATATAAGGTTGCATTTCTTTATGTAGTTTTTGGCTCTTGGTTGGCTGTTGGATTTTTTGGGAATGGGGTTGGAGTTCAACGCTTCAACAGTGATATTGATTTCTCATACATCTCTTGCTTTGGCGGTGTTTTCAAAGATTGGATTTACTCCTGATTGTCTGTCCACAGTCTGGGCATTCAAATGGTTTTGATATATAGTTTCTTCTGATACTCGTTTATTTTGAAAAATAGTCTTGGTCTAATGGTTTCTTGTCATAACTTCCATCAGGTGTCCATCTTGTGTGTGTCCCTTGGGTTGGTGGGTTGTGGGAGTCGTCGGATTGGTGGAGTGCTTCAACCATTTGGTCAAAGATGTCTTGGTCCATTTCTTCCTTCATTCCATCAATTACCTTATAGCAGGGCATTTTGTAACCTACTGTAATTCTAGAAACAACTATTGGTTTAAAGTGCTTTTGTTTGTTTGTTTGGGCCGTTGGAGATTGCGTTGATGCCCAACCAGATCTTAAGTGAAAAACTGCTCCTGCCACTGAAGTCATCATTTTGTTTCGTCCTCATCCCTGTCGCTATCAACGTCACTAATCCCTTTTTGGGTTTTGGATGGATATGGCGACGGCGATTCACACTTAAAAAAAAAAAACGCGCTGTGAATTAGGCAATGCATGGATTGGGAGGATTGTTCCCAAATTTCAGCGTTTGATCGCGTTTGTGGATTGGATAGGGCAACTCACGCAATGAAAAAAATATAGTATGTATATATAGGCTCGTCCCCGCTTCTGGAACCACATGGGGTGGGGGGGGTGGGGTGGGGTGGGATGTTAACGTTCATGTGACCTTGCGGCAGGATGTTAACGTTCATGTGAACTTGCGGCAGCAGTGGATGCTACGCACATGCGGGGTGGGGGGGGTGGGGTGGGATGTTAACGTTCATGTGACCTTGCGGCAGGATGTTAACGTTCATGAACCGCGCAAACCTGAATTAGGTTGGTAAAACTTGTCCATTCCGTGACGAAATTTCGTCGCGGAATTAACAAGTTTCATTAGGGTCATTATCATCATCATCATTATCATGATGATGATGATGAAGATGATGATGATGATGATGATGATGATGATGATGATAATGACCCTAATGAAACTTGTTAATTCCGCGACGAAATTTCGTCACGGAATGGACAAGTTTTACCAACCTAATTCAGGTTTGCGCGGTTCCAGAAGCGGGGACGAGGCTATATATACATATATATATATATATGGTTTTCCCATTTTCTTGGGCGCGATGGCCGGGGTAGTTGGTCAGGCAAACTTATGGTGGTTTTCCCAATGTTTCTGGATTTTGTAGGGCACTGACATTTTGTCGGAGCTGCTCGTTCTCTTCTTGGGTCTGTTGTTGAAGACCCTGACGTTCTGCAACATTCTGCAGGATTCGGCAACATGTTGCAACACAGTGCTGCAAGCCAACGCTCCAATATTCTTGTAGATGTTCCCTTAAGCAGTAATGACGAAGAAATTAGTTCGTCAGCTTTGGGGACTCAACTTCGCACTGAATCCAAAACTCCAAATCAAAAACAAACTACAATCCGAAGGCAGACAATACAATCTGTGAGAACATGTGAGAACATGTAAGAACATGTGAGAACATGTGAGAACATGTGAGAACATGTGAGAACATGTGAGAACATGTGAGAACATGTGAGAACATGTGAGAACAGAGCTAAGAAGTTCTTATGGAACAAAAGAAATGAATCAGTTCTTGTGCCGGCGCTTCAACGGCGCCTCCACAGTACTTTGCCGCTGCTCCGCGGCCTGGCGGGCTGACCTTATCCAAGCTTCACAAGCGAATCGAGAATCCGAAATCCGAAAATACATTGACCAAATTGACAAAGAAATTTCTTTTGAAATAAAGGAATTGAATGAAATAAATCAATTGACCTGAGGGATCTGAAAGTCTGTGGTTTTCGACTGCTCAATGTGCAGCAATCCATGCAGCTTCCGGATCTCCTGGTGTCTGGGACGAGAAGGGGTCGGGCCGGTGATGCCGGTGGTCCAAGAATGGAAATGAGGCGTTCAGAGATCTAAAATCAGTAAGAACAAGTTTGGTAAACGACACATAGAATGACATAGAACATGGTGAAACACAGTGGAACACTCAAGTACCAGTCAAAGGGTCTGAAGGCTTCCAGCTGCATCCTCTGAGATTGTTGCCATTGTTGCCATTGTTGCCCTATTTGCCACATGGTTTGGCATGGGAAAGCCAGCTGGTAGGACAGTCCTCTCTCAGCTCGCCCAGCAAGACATCCTGAAGGAAAACGTGAAGTGTGTTTGGTTTATGTGTTTTTTCTCCAAAAAGCTTGACTTGGACATTTACTTAGATTCCCTGGCAAGCTTGACTTGTCAAACTGCAACAGACATGGAATCATAGGAAATCATAAATGGGTGCTTTTCATCTTTACGTGTAGATTTCAGGTCTTCAAAGGGCTTTGGAGTTTCTTTACGTTTCTTTTTACAATCGTCTACTTCGTCCACTTCGTCCACTTGGTCCACTTTTCACTGCCCTGAGGCTGGAGCAGCATCGTAGCGCAAGCGATCTGCCTCCTGAAAGATTCAGCATCTCCCCGGAGTCAAAAATGCAGTGAAGCGGTGCATCGGTGCATCGGTGCATCGTGAAAGAAGCTTTGGAAAATTCATGATTCATTCCATGATAATTGATAATTCATGAGAATTCCCTGTTTAGTCGCATACCTAGTCGTATCATATCTAATCGGGAAAGAAACTGTTCAAATCTTTTTGGACCTGTTTCTACTGCCCCGGCTTTCCTGCAATTCGTGTAGCTGCAGGAGGACAGCTTCACGCCTGGCAGGCGTTCTTTCTGGACAGCTATGACAGCTGAAGGTCAACCCTCCAAGGCACAAGCAGAAAGATTTGCTCAGAATTCGACAGACACCTGCCTTGTCTCGGCCTCAAGTCTGAGCCTGTAACAAGTTTCACAAGTACCGGCGTACTCAGGCGAACAATGTATCCTAAAGCATTCGCTACAAGCATTCGAATCGAATAGCTTACTCTCATGTGCCGCAAAAAAGAACTTTGCTATTGCATTCTGTTGGAGTGGTTCCCTTGCCATTGAAGAATGCATGTTCATCTTTGTTCATCTTGCCAGACGTGACTTGTTTTTTCATATCGTTCAACATACTGGGCAGATCTGGGCAGATCTGGGCAGCATTCACATTCACAGCCTTCTCTCTGCATCCCTTTCCTTCAGAAGTTGCTCCTGCTGCACCTTGCATGGTCGAACCGGCGCTGCAATGACGTACACAACTTATCAAACCTACCGTTACATATCGAGGCACATCATAACATCACATGTGTGACATGTGTGGCATGTGACATTTGTATACATTTGTGACATCACATCTGACACATCTTGACATAGCACCTGATTGAGATGCTGAAGCTCCTCCCGCTTGCGCGCCGCATCCTCTCGTGCTGTGCGCAGCTCCTGCTGTCACCAATTGCAGCACATAGACTTGACGAGATGTTTTACAAATGGCAGGGGCTGTGTAGGGCTTGTCGATGAAGTTGTAGCAGTCCGTTTCAGTAGATTTGCATCTGAAAGTCTGAAGACTTTGCCTAAAACACGTCAGTAAATGGAGGCAGCAAGGATCTGGCTTAGTTTTCATGCATCGTTCCGCTCGAAGGCTTAGCAAAGGCAAGACTGCTCATGGATCCCTTGAGTTTCTTCGACGTAACGGGCCTTGTTGGGATAAACATGGATAAACATTGAAAGTTAACTGACAGTCAAAGGTCTTTTTGGAAATTCAAGAAGCTGGATGTTGAGATTTACTCGCTTTTAAATCTGTGCATATATCCTGTCTCAAGTGTCAACATCACACATTGGAAGACTCCTTCGCCAAAACAATGTATATAATGAGATGTTCAAGCACAAGAACGTGGAAAGCGTTCAACATCGTTCAACCATACAAGCTCGGAAAAGGGTCCTTTTCAAAAGCCTGCCGGTGTGATTCCACCTGCATGCTCAACTGGCTGTTACTATTGCTGCATGTATCATGTGTCATATTCGATCTACATCATCTATGTCCATACAAAATCATACAAGAATGCAGTATGCAATGTATGAATTATGTATGGAAAATGTGTACGGAAATTTTATGGTCATGTACTGTTCCACAGTATGGGCCACATCCGGTGCCTCTTTGGTGCGCTCAAAATGGCCCTGTCTTTGCAGCGCAGCTTTGAGACGATTTACCTCCACCCGCGCTTCTCGCAGCAAACGCGCTGCCTTGCATGAAGCTCCACTTGAAGACTCACCAAGATTTGGAAAGGAAACTCTGGAAATCTCTGGAAACTGTTAAATTCAACTTGTTGAACTTGTTGCCTGGAACAATCGCTCGCCGAGACTTGCTAGTTGCTTTGACTTCTTTGCTAAACTTCTGCTGTTTGAGTCTCCTGATGTCTGCTATTGTCAGCTTGTCCATCTTGTCCAACTTTAATTGTTCCTCGGCTGGGCCTCAGCGCCAGCCTCTGCTTCTGCAGCTTCCCCAGCCTTGCCGCTTGACTAAGGACTGTCTGGGAAATTAAATCGAAAGCCAAATCGAACCACACAGGAAAGCGAGGAAAGTGCCAAGTTTCTCTCCAGCACCTGAAGTTTCTGTTTGCTTGCTTCAGCTGAAGCAAGCTCCCCACGAAGTCGTTCGATTTCGGCCTAGAGGAGGCAGGGACACCGATGATATCAAATGACATCGAATTTCTGCGCAAACATGTGCTCACACCTTTGACATGTATGCGTTCAACATCTCAACCAACGCGCGCCGCATCAAGCATGATCTTTACATTTTTCTCTTCAAGCACTTCGGCCATCAAGAGACGCTTTACGTAGGGCACTTGAAATTTGTGGGCATTATGCACTTGGATTATGTTCACTTGCACTCAAATAAATGCATGAGATTTCATGAGATTGGTCCTTTGACAATTCATTGGTTCGTGGTCAATCACTTTCGTCAGCTCCTGTGCCCAGTCAAAGGGGAACAATGATTTGTATTGATTTGTGATAAGGCCTGTACACCATGCAAAAAGATTAGGAAATTCTACTGCTATTCACAGCGTGCTTCCAAATCTATCTGCTGCGTCAGCCAATCCACAGAATGAATTTTAGCTGAATACGCAGAGAGGGCAAGCTTCAGCTGTTCAAAACTATCCAAAATCTGCCTAGTTTCTGCCTAGTTTTTGCCTAGCCGCTAAAGCCCGGCCTTTGGTCTGAGCCAAGGCGACATGCGAATCCAGGTGGATTCACGAGGCTGTTTTGTCCTCGTATAGTGACTTGGGCCCTCTACCAGCCACGTCACCAAAAGAGAGATACGTGAAGACCCCCTTTCCGCCGTCCATCTTCGCCTCTCAGGAAGATCCATCTCGACGATTCTGAACATGAAGTACACTGCCATAAATATGATATGATAAAATATTGATAAAACATGATATTTGAAATATGTAAATATACTCGCTTGTTGATCAAAAATTGTTCGCCCTCAAAGAACAATCGTTCTTTGCAGGTATTCTTAATTTCGCGAAACTTTGGCGAGCTCCAAGTTAATCTGTCGCGGGATGCATGTGACGCGACATTATCATAGATTGATTCATGAGAACCATGCAGGCATGCATGTGGCATCACAGAATCCCTTATAAAATCGCTCATGAGGTTGAATATAGGTTACAAATTACTTGCTTCTGGTTGTGCTTTCATTTGTAAGACTTCCTGCCTGGGCCATCCGGGAACTTTCGCAAGAATTAATCCGACAGGTTCAGAGGATACCTGTATTAACCTGTAATGTACATGATTCATTGAAATATCAAACTAAACATATTACTTACAGTATCTTACAGTGAATTATGTATCTACAATTATCTACATAGATCTTCATAGTATATCTTCTCTAATCTATCATGATTCAGGAATGTTCAGGATATCAATCTGTGCAGCAATTTCCAAGTCGCGAGGGATAGAACCTTTTCGAACGGTCATCGCAACTTTATACATCTGAAGAAACGTGAAGGTGCTTTTGCAGTCTCGGGTTGGTAAATGAAGCCCTGCCTCTGGAGGTGCGTGCACAATGGCAAACTAGTGCACCCATCAAAAAACTGATGACAGTACGGCAATCCTGCCATGCCTGGGAGCTTTTTCTGAAACTGCACGAAAGTCACTGAAGAACATGAACAGATCGAAACAAATCAAAGCAAATCTGCAAAATGTGCACAGATGTGACAGATGTGGAAAAGGAAATCTTGGGGACTGGGCTTCCTGAGAACTCTGAGACTTTGACCTCGCATAGGCCATAGGCACCAGGTCCGCTGTGGCAAAAGCAGCGCCTGCAAGTTGCTTGTTGCAGCTCAGCGGTTTTCCACAAGTCAGCCATCTCATCTTGAAACAGCACCCTCATCAGCATGATCAGTCATACCACTGGCACCTTGGAAAGACCTGAGCCTCACTTAAGAGAGTCAGCAAAGTGGCCCCAAAGACCATCGCCTTGGCTCTGCTCTTTAAGAAACAAAAGATCCAGTTTCCTCTGTCACCTTCCCTGATTTTCCTGCCTACCCTGCCTACCCTGCCTACCCTGCCTACCCTGCCTACCCTGCCTACCCTGCCTACCCTGCCTACCCTGCCTACCCTGCCTACCCTGCCCGCCTTCCCTGTGTCTGACTTGCTGCGGCTTTTGTTTTGTGCCAAATCTTCGAAACGAAAAGCATGGTTTGAATCCCGGTCAATCCTGCTGTAAGTATCTGGCAAAAAGGCCCTGGACCATTGCAAGGGTCCTCATGCTTTGCAGCCAAAACAGTTCAATTCCGGTCACTATATCAACAATTTTGTTCACGGCCCTTTCTGCACACCATGTACCAATGAAAGCGCAAGGTACTGTAGCAAACAAAGGGAGCCCAACAGGTAGTGTCCTGTCGTCCATGATGATTCCGCATGTCATAGGTACAGTACTAGGCCTGACCTGCATGCGACGTCTTGCAGGCAACAAGGCAACCAATGCTGGAGTGCTGGAGGCTGTGGCCCCTGTCTGCCCTGAATGCATATGGATCCAATGCATCATTGCAAAGCTCTCCCAGATCTAAGGCAATGGCTGATAGTAGAATGGCGTGATTGGACCGATGCAGAGCAACTTTCTTGATGCACCAATGGTCCCGCTTGAGCCAGCACAGCAGTTGCACACCTATGTATCTAAGTGTCAGGTGTGGTTGATGTCTGAGTATAGCAATCTTGGCCTATCTAGTCTAAGCTTCTGCTGCATCGAGTGCTAATGCCCAGTCTCAGCGCTGAGAGTAAGGGCAAAGTTTATCAAAATTTCATCCACGTGTCATCCTTTTAGACTCCACTAGCAGCTCGGCATTCTGACACTGCTGCGAATGTAAACATGGATGTGGCCTCGAGAGCTCGTCGCCGCACAGACTCAAGCAATTCATCAGCTGCACGCCTCTCCGAAAAAGGCAACAACTGAAGGACTTTGAGGGACTCAAACAAGGCTTGTGGAAGCTGTTGCCGTTTGCGCAAACCCTTGCGTATGTAGTCCTTGCACGGCCACAAGGTGTAGCTTGCGGATGTGTTTCTGACATTGGCCTGCGTGAGCTTGCAGCTTGTTTTGAATTTGCCATGTTTTTTTCTTGCGCCACGCAGGTGGAAGGCATCTTTGGACCCAAGTGACCAGGCTGTCCCTTGGCTACTAAACCTGGAGCTTACGCGAGCTTGCGCGAGCTTGCAGGAACAGACTGTTTGCGCTCTGCTTACGAAAGTCTTCACGAGTGCAGCGTTCTATTTGTGTAAGAATAACTTTGCCCAAAGATTAAAAGGGGTCTACTGGTTGTTTTGAACTCAGCTCTCATAGAGAAGCAGACTCATAGTAAATGGTTCACCACGGAACTCGTTTTTGGGAAGTTGCCAGCCCTTGCGCAGAACACTTAGTGCACGGAACACATGGTATCCATACGCATCAGGAAGCTCCATGGAATGATCGAAATGCAGCAGCTTTGCGCACCTGACTTTCGAAGGTTCCTCCTTGGTAAGAAAAAATTGATCCGTGCAGCAAACCAGATTGAGGAAACACATAGAGAACTTAGAGAACTGTGATATGAATTTGAGATCCTTCTCAAGTCCATCCCAGGCGTTGCAGTCCTGTCATACGCTTTGTCTAAAGTGTGGTTGCAAATCTCGTCTGGCTCAGCATACTGAGGTCATTGCTGGCTTGTTCTTTGGTATTCTACCCCCACGAGAGCACCTTCGGCAAACCAGCTCAGGCTGCTGATGCGAAAGAGCAAGAATCATCCAAAATGCCAAAATGATTTTGAAATCATATTACATAATTACCCAACTCAACTCAAGAAAAGTATAGAAAAAACATATGTGGGATTATGTAAGTCTGATATAATCTGATTGAATCTGTGGCAGGCTCAGTGATGTTGGAGAAAGTTCTTCCCCAGTCGCTTTGTGAACCGCGGCTGCCTCATAGGGGTCGAAAATGCCCATTGCCCATCGCTGCCAGCAGTTTCCTGGAGCTGTCAAACGGACTGTGCAACAGTGCGGTAAACATTACATGATGTTACACTTCTGTCTACCATCAAATACCATTACAATCATTACACGATGCAAGATCCTGCAAGGTCACAGTCATACTACCTTTGCCACCTTGAAAATCGCATTTCAGGCGATGACAGAAGCATCAGCTGTCACAGGTTCAGCAATGCCTCAGAATCGCTCTGAAATCGGAGTGAACTCTGGTACAAGCTGCTGAATTTTCTTTCTCACCTCCGTCATCAAAAAAAAATGGGTTCGGTTCTGAGATGCAAACTGCTATCAGGGACCTCTGTGCCGTAGACATGCACTGAGCATTCCCCCAACTACATGTGCATGAGTGATGTCATCCTTTTGATTCCATTTATATTTATTCAATACATCTTCTGTGGCAATCATTCTCTGAGGAAGAGTCAGTCACCCTGACGCTTGAAAGCAGCTGCTCCTTGAAATGAAAAGTTCTGAAGACTTGACAAAATCTGATGTCTGCATCAGTTCATTTCCACGCGATCCTGAACTTCTTTTGCTTGTTGAATAATATGATCCAGTTTGGACAGATCCTGGGCATCACGATAACAGACGTCTCAAAGAACTCAAAGGACTACATAGGCTAAGTCCGTTGGGTCCACTAAATCTGTATGACACGAAAGAAGGAAATGGCTGAAATCATCTAAGAGGGACACATTTCGAGTGTGGGTCGGCCTCACAAGACTGCAGTTCACCGAAGATGGGGAGAGGCAAACTGGCCGTCAGACTTGACTTAAGGGATACCATGCGGTACCAATCTTGTGGGATTGACATCTGGGGAACTTGCAACAGCAAAGATAATCAAATAATCAAAGAGACTATACAATAACAATATAATAGGCTAATGATTTCGATTTATTTGCATATTGGAAATTAATACGTTTACTGATATTAAACGGAATTTAATTTGGGAGGCGTTGATCCTTCAACAAATGATGTATATTTTAAAAAATGCAATATAATTTCTAAGGAATATAACTTTCCATAACTTGAGTTGTTGACATCGTTAAAAAACATCCAAGACGATTCTAGAACAAATCGGGCAAAAATCGATTACAGGTAGAACCCGCACGAGGCGGGCGGCGGAAGTTTCCAGCAGCAAGGCGTGTTGCATTATAGGAGTGAAAGACAAGTTTTGCTGATAGGAACTAAAAGAAAGCCTCACATCTTCTCAACTCTGTTATGTGGGTTCGGCCTCTTCTTGTTTCAGTCTTGTCAACTGTGGCAACGACTTCTCGTCTCTTCGCAGCTCTTCTCAAACCATCTCAGCTCTTCTCAATTCTTCTCACAACCCTTTTCTCAATTCTTCTCACAACCCTTTTCAACCGCTCAAGTTTTTTCATCTCTTCCCACCTCAGCTCAGTTCTTTTCACCTCACCTCTTCCCGGCTCTTCTCAGCTCTTTTCAACGACTCTCACCTCTGCCCACCTCTTCTCAACTCTTTTCGCCTCTTTATATACTATACACAGAGAAGCTTTTACACACAGAAGCTTCTACACACAGAAGTTTTTGCACAGAGAAGCTTTTACACACAGAAGCTTTTACACAGCAAGTTTTTACACAGAGAAGCTTGTACGCAGCAAGTTTTTACACAGAGAAGCTTTTACACACAGAAGCTTTCACAAACAGAATCTATTGCACAGAGCAATTTCTACTCAGGGAAGCTTTCACACAGAGAACCTGTTACACAGAGAAGCTTTTGCACAGAGCGAGCTTTTACACAGAGAGGTTTTTACACAGAGAAACCTTTACACAGAGAAAGCTTTTACACAGACTAATTAGTTTTAGGGTTTGTAGATCTAGGGATTTGTAAACCTGAAACCAAACCTTTGGACGTCACTTACTTTCTGACTTTTGTCCATAGAAACATTTTTGAAACAAGCATTGTATTTGCCTCGGAATTGTTTGAACCTGAAATCGAGTTTCCGCTATCGATTTTCACTCTCAAGGAGTGCGAGTCAAACAGTCTAAGAGACAATCTTAGCACAGCTGTAGCAAACTTGCTTAGCAAACAGAGCTTTTGTTGTTGCTTGTGTGGTCGCGCAAAAGGGACTTGAAGCCGTCGTGCCAGAGGTTGTTGGTTCTTGCGCCCTTGGGAGTTGCATTTGGGTTTTGGGCTCTTGCATGGTAGCGGAGCTCCTGCGTGGAGCGTCCGAACTGTTGCCGGTGCACGGGACAGTCAGGTGCTGAAGACGTCCAGGATGAATACCCCTCCGAAAGGTTCTCCAGGTGAACAACACCGTGCACAGCTTAGTCCAGGTATGTAGGAAGCTGGTTTGGCAGGGATTCCGTTGTATCCGGGCACAAGTTCTGGCGTGGGAAGCCTTGGACAAGACAATCACCCAATGGGGAAGGACGGCCCCGGATGTTCGGGAGCATGTGTGGCGAGGCGGTACAGGGAGGGATGCCACCAGATCCTTGGATGGAATATCGTCTAAACCAACAACAGCAGCAAGGGCAGTTTTGGGGCAGTGGGACACTGGATTAATAGAGCTCAGTCGGTTCCTGTTCCTGCTCCATCCGATGGAGGTGAGAGTTCAGTGTTGCGCCAAGGACTTAATTTTGGTTTGACTCAGGCGCCTCCTTTGGAGCCAAATGGTGCGGGATGGCACACTATAGTGGAGTCAACCACCCAATGGGGATGAACGGCCTCGGGTCGGGTTGCATATCAAATGGAGTCAACCGGTCGGGTTGCATATCAGGAGTCAATCACCGTGAAGCTCTTGGGAATTTCAGGGAGGTCGTTGGAGTCAGGAGCAGAGGCAGCCGGCTATTATAGGCCTTCTGCTGGTCCTCGGAGGCGTGCAGCATCCACACTGCCGAGGGGCTGGATTGCAGCGGCTCGTGCTCTTTGCAAAAGATAATCGCTCCCAGCTCGCGGGAAGGCTCGCTCGCCTTCAAAGAGAAGCCCGGAGCAATAAAGCACGGCGGGCTGCTCTTGAAGCGTATCGGGCACGCGTTGTAACCACTTATTTGACGATTTTTGGCCACTACAAGAATGACAAAAAACAATGTCGTCAGATGGTTGCAAGATGACAATAGAGCAAGCGGGCGGCATTCTGGGCAGCAACAAACAACAATCCTTGGGGCATCGCCGGTGTGCGAAGCCCTACAATGTTAGAAACTACTTCTGTTCTGGTATGTTTGTGGAACGCCTCTTAGAGATTCAAGTTTACCTGCCGACAACAAGATACGACAGCCCTAAAAGCTGACGATGTACTTTGAGATTCCACGCTTTGGACTCACCTGGAGATCCAAGGAAGAAAACAATGCAACAATCTCACTCTACCGAAACGAACAGTTGATCTAAGAGAGTTCAAACCAAAATCAGATGAAAACAAAATCTAAGGTAATCACACTGCGTCCAGAGAGCTGTGGCAAGGTTGTCCAACCTGATGAATCAAACTCACAAAATAAATGGTTCCAGAATCTTGGAACTTTTGGTCGTTAAATAGCAGGACTAGAAGGTACCACTGAGAAGCAAACACTAGCTTTGAAACATTTTGAAACAATACCAGGCAAAAACCGTTGTATGGTCTTGGGCTCACCGCAAGCTGTCTGTCCGCAAATGTCATCAGCATATCCTGAACAAAGACTGCTGAGGACTGTCTGTGCATTGCACAGTCTGTGCATCAAGAAAAGCCATTTCACGTCAGTTCTCCCTGAGAGTCTTCGCGTATATCCTACCAAGAAGCCACTGCTTTGACGTGTGAAACTGTATGAGCTCTGTAGAAACGAGTCAGACACTGACACCACCCAAGTGCCTCTCTCTGCATTGTACACAGTTGGTTCACTGCCACTTGCCTCTGAGAATGCACACAGCTGTACTGTAAATTCAACATGAAAGCAAACGCATACAAAAACAACACCAGCAAAACATAGCGAAAGATGGCTTCGAAGTGTTTCGATCATGGTTGTTTGGCAATTTGAGATGTGTCAATCGATTTGACCTTTGAGGCAACGTGAGGCAATGTGAGGCTTGAATTGTGGCCTCTCCATCGTATGCTACCGGCCTGGATAAACATTTGCAACTTCGACGGATTTAGACTTAGATAGACTTAGATAGACACTTAAACTTTTCAGACATGCGCTGTCTCCAGGTCAAGCGATCCAGCCCAAGCCGATCCCAAGACAACCGTTTTGCTATGCCATGGATTTCATTGCTTGAATGCTCAACCGGTGATGTATTACGAATCCGTGATCCTAAAGCACACATCCCAAGACCAACCATGAAATCTTGGCACAGCGATGGCATACCGTGCACCTCTGGCCGAGAGTCCGTGGCGTCCTGGGCACAGAACCTTTGCATCAGAACCCATCTGGGCCCAGAGAAAAGCCGTGATGCCCGTGATGCCCGTGATGCCCGTGATGCCCGTGATGCCCGTGATGCCCGTGATGCCATTATGTTTCAGTCTGTGCTCTGTTCAAGCCTTGCGCCCGGCGCGTCAGAAGACTTGCTCTTTTGCATCAAGAAAAGAAATCAATATTTCAAAATCGAACTGTCAAAGGAAACAAGCAATGCATAGCAATACATAGCAATGCTTTTGAAACCACTGGTGCACCCTTAATTGTGGACAGCTACGAAAAGGTTTTGCATGCTACTGAGCTGCTCCTTATACTCCAAGGCTCATGCCGAGGATGTGAGCATGTCCTCTCGCCTGTCCAGAGAGCTCCAAAACTCAAAGAACGAACCTTGAATTGAACTGTGTCGTCTGCAAAAACCAACTCAAAATGCAAATTCATGTCTCTTGCTGTGTTCTTTCATGTTCTATTCAGTAGTTTTGAAGAATTGTGAAGAAACAGCAAAGAACTCGCTCGAAAGCAACCTGGACATCTGACATGTGAGTCTTCTTGCCCTTGGCATGAACCGACGGCAAGAAACTAAAGAAAACTGAAATCGTTTTTTCACAAACAAAAAACTACAAATGATTGGAAATCTTAAAGGAATTCACTGAAGTAGGAACTCTTCAAGGAAACCTAAGAAGGCGGCAGTGGAAGATCTGCTGCGGCAACAAAGATGCTGCCCTGCCATGCAAAAACTCTGTGCAAGAATCCAACCTGCAACCTGACTCGCTACACCAGGCCTTCAAATAATTCAAATGGGCTAACGCATCGAAGACATCAGAGGACCCACAAAACATCTGCTTTCATAGGTGCGACCTTGATGAGAATGGATGACCGTATTCTGGATGTCCCACTTCGCGGGAATCAAAGGGACTAACCAGTTCTTTCAGTGGCATCAGCATGTCAATGTTGAGGATCATGTCATCATTATTTGGCTATGATCTTGGCTGTATATCTTAGATCTTGTTCTGAGCGAAATGACTCCTGCCAGTACAATATCGTTCACAACTGAAAAGCCTTTCAGAGGCCACGGACTCATGAAAACGTAGAAAAGTCCACTGTGCAAAGCTGTGCAAAGCTGTGCAAAGTCAGTGCTTTTAGTGCTGTTCTTTCCATGTGTTGCTGTGATCTCTGTGCCATGGATCTGGCCTCGCTGCTTCGCAGCTAGTCCAGGTTTCAGGAGTTTCCAAATGAACAAATCCAGGTGCAGAAGTTGCAAGCAGAAACATTGCCTACTTAGCCTACTTTTGACATAATTTAACAAAGAAAAGGCTTTATCCGAAGAAGACTCCTCTGCAACTGTACCAGCCTCAACTCCTTGGCTTCAATGGAAAGTTTAAACTTCACGAATGAAGCCAGAAGCTGCTCCAGAAGCTTGGATTAAAACTGGTATCAGATTCTATCAACACATAGTTACTACATAGTTTATAGATGTTTATAGATGTTTATAGTTGATTTTTGTATATTTTTGTGTTGTTTCACCCTGTTTCACCCTGTTTCACCGTTTCACCCTCTAGAAAAGTTGCTCTCGGATCTGCAATACTTTGCTGCACCAAGGCATACTTGAAACACACAAAGTAAAAGCCATCAACGCATCCGCAACAGGTCGAATGCAGGTTTAGAGCGACCAGGTACGCCAGCCTCCAGCAACTTAGAGCAGAAAGAGGCTTCACTGACATTGATTTATGAGACTTGTATAGATTTGTGACTTTACACTCAAACATATCATATGGCCAAGTGTGGAATGTGGGCAAGAAAATCTTCCCCACAAGGAAAAACATCAAGCTGAATCACACAACCACGCGAATTCACACATCGTGGTGCCTGGAAGTTGGGTACAAAGTTTGGTGCGACAGTCTTGAGAAATGGCTTCGCAGGTTCTGGAAGCACTCTTGGTACATGACTGTTGCTCTTCAGACCCATCAAGCTGACGTAAACCCCAGGGCTTCCATAGTCTCCAAGATCCATAAAGGCCGTGCGATATCTCTCCTGTTGGGCTCTCCCTCTCGCTCTCCCTCATTTTGCATGTTCGAAGGTAAAACTCCGAAAAAAACACGTTAACATACGTTGACCATCTTTGACATACATGTAAAATCATGAAAGTACTTCAACTTGACTTTAACATACTTCAACAATCACAGTAAGGATGAAAATTGGATTGTGGTCAATTGGGAAACGCAAAGACTAGCTTCAGTGCCAATCACATCAAGGTGACAGCATGGGCCTATGGAGCCTTGCTCTCCTCGAAATGGCCGTCATGACGCCGTCCTGCCCATTCGCTGTTCTGTTTGTCGAGGCGCACAGCCTCTCCAGCGTGCACTTTGGAAACTCCAAGGATCTCCTCCAGCCTTGCCACGTAATCAGGATCTCGCTGCTCTCGCTGCTCTTGCTGCTCTCGACCTTGCTCTCCATGAGACACAGGCAAACCAAAACGCGTTCTCGGCTGGGGCAAAGACAAGTCCCAACTGGGGCGATCTGTGCTATCCTGCCCAAAGTGAGGGACAAAGGATTCTCGCGTCGCCTGAGGCTGTAAGTCATCCGACCAGCTGTTGTTCTGTCCTTTTTCAGAATCTTTCTGAGAGTCTTTCTGATCTTTCTGTCTTCGCTTTTGCTTTGGTTTCTCTTTGTCATCCTCAAGGCCAAAGGACATTTCATGTTCGTTGCCAAAGCTTGGCCAGTTTTCCCTGATCTCATGTGTCTCTGCAGCCAAACCAGGATCTTGACCAAATGTGGTCCACTCTGCCCCGAAGCTTGGCTCCGTCATCTCCGTCATCTCCTTGTTTTCCTCTTTTTGTTTCTTCTCCTGCTTCTCCTTCTCTGCCTTTTTGTCTTTCTTTCGCTTCCCCTTCGCCTTCTCGGCCTTGTCAGTTTTAGCGTGTCCAAACCCAAAATCACTGTCTGCGAAGGCCATGTCGGAAAACGCTGTCTCCGTTGTGGCCTCAAAGTTTCCGGCACTTGGGAAGTCGGGCGTTGGTGGCACAGAGTCGATGCCATTCTTTTCTTGGCCCAAACCAGAATCGGCCTCAAGAAGATTGCACAGAAAAAAACAAGATGAAGCCCACGAACCCGAATGCTCACACGTATGTTGAAGATGATGGTGATAAAGTATCGATTATGATAGGACATGAAAATGTCAATGCTCACACCTATCGTAGAACAGTGGAACAACACCATTGCTCCGAATCTGTTTTCTCTCCGCGACAGCAGCACTGGCGTCGCAACGCAGTGGCGCGCGGCAAGCAGCGCCCAGTGGCGCGCGGCAAGCAGCGCCTTCCAAGACATGGCAGTCATGCGAGACGAACGTATCACACATGAAATGTCTTGTGTTGGGAATCACATGCGTCGATGCAACAAAATAAAATATATGGATCAACGAATCAGAAAGTATCGGAAACGTGTTGAAACATCCTGTAGTGGCACCAAGCACGCTCGATGCCTCCACGGCACTGGTGTTGCAAAGCTGCATCGCGACGCAGTCATCACCTGCCAGAACACACGAGCCAGACGAGGCACAGTTGTAGCCGACAAATCATTTTATGAGTTAACGAAACAGCATCTTGACGAAGACACTTCAATAACGATTGTGTGGGACAACGAAACAACCCAAACAAAAAGGAAAATAAGAACGGCTCTTGTTGATCTGTGCAACAAAATCATATCATCTTCAGATTGCAAAAGGAACAGGGACTTCTTTCTACCATCGCCGACGGCTGTAACATGTCCTGGGAGCTGCTCAGCAACAGCGAGGACAGCGCCACCAGCTGTCGCTCTATAGACAACCAAACAGATTTTGGTCATGTCCAACTTCTCACCAAGACAACGGAGTCACCAACGCCAGCTGTCCCTCTGTTGCCCGAAGTCAAACAAATTCGTCGAAATAGATGCCAAGACCAAACGAAGCTCACCTGGCCATTGCTGTTGCCAGCGACAATTTGGACAATTTCAAGCGGCAACAGCTTCTTGGTGATCTTAACTTTCAAGCCAATGTGCAAAGACAGAAATCCTTTCTGCCTTTGCACATTGATCTGAAAGTAAAGATCACCAAGAAGTTGTTGCCGCCTGAGATTGTCCAAATTGTCGCTGGCAACAGACATGGCATTGTCTGGTTCCATCGGGGTCCTTTTTTTGTTCCGACAGAAATGGAAGCTCGATTGAATCAAACCTTGACGCAAAGCAAGCACAGGAAACCCGGGATCTCTGGCTGAACCGCCCAGCCACAGACGCTGGGAACTGACTCGCAAGGCACTCAGATGGCACGGATGATGAACTGATCGGGACAACGAAACAACCCAAACAAAAAGGAAAATAAGAACGGCTCTTGTCGATCTGTCCAACAAAATCATATCATCTTCAGATTGGAAAAGGAACAGGGACTTCTTTCTACAATCGCCGACGGCTGTAACACGTCCTGGGAGCTGCTCAGCAACAGCGAGGACAGCGCCACCAGCTGTCGCTCTATAGACAACCCATACACATCACTGAAGACATTTATTGCATGTTCAAAAAACAAATTCAATCTACTAGTCTTGTCTTTGACCAACTGGGTGTGATGAATGTATGTGCACGGGCATGATGCAAAATCATATCGGGCAGGTGCACAAAGCTTTGCTGCTCAGATGCGTTGGGATCGGATGCAGTTGAATGTCTTGCAGTTGGCCGCACTCACATTATTGCGGACATGACATCTTTTCAACATCCGTTGCAACAGCTCAGTAAGTCTGAATATTGCAACGGATGTTGAAAAGATTTATCATTTGTGCAAAACACAAATTCCGCCGGATGCACGGAGCTGTACCGATCAACCTGTGTAACTTGGTCTGAGAGTAAAGATCACCAAGAAGTTATTGCCGCCGGAGATTGTCCAACTTGTCGCTGGCAACAGACATGGCAGTGTCTGGTTCCATCGGGGTCCTATTTTTGTTCCGACAGAAATGGAAGCTCGATTGAATCAAACCTTGACGCAAAGCAAGCACAGGAAACCCGGGGTCTCTGGCTGGACCGCCCAGCCACAGACGCTGGGAACTGACTCGCAAGGCACTCAGATGGCACGGATGATGAACTGATCCTCAAGATCCGGTCTGAGAATTGCTTGTGTGCCACACGCACTTCCGCTCTCACCTGAGCGACCCGGCCGAACCCGCTGGCGGACCCAGGGCTCCGCCGGGCAGAGCGTCGAGGCTGTTTCAGGTTCAAAAAAAAATCACGGTTGCATGTTGAGTGGTTCAGCATGCTGTCTCTCGAGAAATAGCGTTGCGTCGTAGTCTTGACCTGCGCGGTCTTTTTTCCAGGCTGCCCGCTCGGGCAGCCTGGCCCACCCTCCCTACCTCCCCACATGAGGCCTGCCAGCAACTCTGCTGCAAAAGTTGCAACAGAAGCACCACCAGGCCACAGCAGAGGAGCTCCAGCATGGGAAAGAGCGAATCATGGGAATGCATGTTCCTCGGGGCCAACGCCACCTGAGGTTTGGCACCACAAACATCACTTAGCATGGGTTCGAGCAACAGAAGCAATGCAACACAAGAAATAGCATATCGCCAAGGACATCTATTGCTTGTTCTAAAAACAAATTCAATCTACAAGCTTTGCGTTCGACCAACTGGGCATGATGGAAGTATGTGCACGGGCACGATGCTATACATCATCTTTGCCAATCAACACAAAGCTAGTTCAGGAAACCCAGAATCTGTGGCTGGACCGACCAGCCACAGGCGCTGAGAACCTCTTCCATTAGCAACTCAGATGGCGCGGACGATGAGGATCTTGCAGTGTTGTCACAGACAACAAGACTTTTGTTTATTGTGGTGGTACGGTGCTATGAAAGGACGCAGCCATGCACCGTGCAACCACAATAAACAAAAATATTGGCTTAGCCGGCATTTAATTGTCTTCCACTCAGAGGCCTCGAATGAATCAACCTGCGACGCAAAGCAAATTCAGGAAACCCAGAGTCTGTGGCTGGACCGCCCAGCCACAGGCGCTGAGAACCTCTTCCATTAGCAACTCAGATGGAGCGGACGATGATCTTGCAGTGTCCTCATGAAAAGTCGACCGCACAAACTGCCTGCCCATTAGGTCACATCCGAGCGACGCGGCCGAAACCGGTGGACGATCAAGGGCCAGACGGGCAGAGCACGAAAAAAAAAACGAAGCTGTCATCGCCTGTGGTGAGAGTTTTGCGATGCATTTGTTTGCATGTTGAAAAATAGCGTTGCGTCGTAGTCTTGACCTGCGCGGTCTTTTTTCCAGGCTGCCCGCTCGGGCAGCCTGGCCCACCCTCCCTACCTCCCCACATGGGGCCCGCCAGCAACTCTGCTGCAAAAGTTGCAACAGAAGCACCACCAGGCCACAGCAGAGGAGCTCTAGCATGGGAAAATGCGAATCATGGGAATGCATGAGTACCCGTGTGCTTTGGTTCCTCGGGGACAACGCCACCTGAGGTTTGGCACCACAAACATCACTCAGCATTGCTTCGAGCAACAGAAGCTATGCAGCACAAGAAATACACGTCGCTCAAGACATCCATTGCCTGTTCTAAAAACAGATTCAATCTACTAGTCTTGCGTTCGACCAACAAGAAACAGCCGATCAACAGCCGACCACGATGTCAACATACACTGTCAACGTCATTCACAAGAAATGGTATAGTCTGCAAAGCTTTCTGCACATCAATCGAAAACAAAAGTCACCGACATCGTCATCGTCATCAGCATCATCGACGCTGTCAAATGTCATACACATCCCACCTTTCCAAAGTGACACAAAAGTCATACAGAGCCAGCAGCTGCAAGCATCCAGATGCAAGCTTCCCAGCGGCAAGTTGCCCAGGCGACGGAATCTGACCAACAGCTCGCTTCACAGAAAAACAGTAAAGCAATACCAGCAACAAATGATGTCAAAAATTATTTACAATTGCTGTACACGAGGTTTTCATATTCAATTGCTGCACAATCATACTCATTTTTCCGGGTACAGCAGTGCTGTAACCTGCAATGTCTGTCACTTCGTCATAACGACGGCCATTGCAACAAGGGGAAAGCCATATACGAACAATAAGAATCAAATAAAACATATCATCAACAGCTCATCACCGCCAGACATCCGCGCTCATACACACTAATGCGGTGATAGAGATATCCGCATTCCCAATGCCTCCACGACAGCGCCAGCTGCCACCTCCCAAAGCAGCGCCACGAAGCAAGCGGCACCTGCCAGAACATGCGAACCACATGATGCAAAGACATCGGAAACATAGATACTGAGGCCATATGCCATATACAACCGAAACTCATCAAATAGGCATTAAATGAATTACAACAACAACAACAACAACAACAACAACGATAACAACAACAACGATAACAACGACAACAACAGCTGAAAACACAAGTTCAATAATGCTGAGATACACAAACATCAACGTTAGCCTGCGACCCCACGTCCCATTTTCCATTTCCCAGAAGCGAAGGTGTGCCGTTTCCGAACAGTATACACAAACCAAACCCCCACGATGTAGCCGTCTTTCGGACGGCCCGTCCACTGCAGGCATGCGGGTCCACTCGCAACTCCAGTCTCACACATTGATACTCAAACACAATGGGGCCAACGCCACCAATTGTGCGTCTATACGCTAGCATCAGCTTCCCGGTTCGACGTTGAGCACAAGCGAACCTTCCTTCTTTTCCCACGGTGGCAGTCGGGGGTCAGCACCGTCCTTCCAGCGATGCTCTTCCAGGTGGCGGAGGTCCACGTGGGTGTACACATCCAGTCGTTGCCGCAAGATCTCCGCGAAAGCGATGCTGCGATGTCTTCCCAGCGTGCTCTCCACACCCACGCGGATCGTCTTGCCCTGGCGGACTTCCTGTTCGATGAGCTGCTCGGCCTGCTGCAGCACGTTCCTGTAGCACGGCAAGCTCATCAACTGCTCTTGCAGAACTTCATCACGGCCATCCGTCGAGTCTCCAGCATCGACTCCCCTGCTCGCAGTTGTCAAGGTCGTAACACCTTGAGACAAATCGATCCGCAGATC